TGTTTGATTTGATTTCGGATCTAAATAGATGCCTTCACACGGATGGAACGAACGTTTCAGTAATAAATGGAGGTAAGAACAAGGAATGTGTTCTTTTTACTTTTTAATTCATTCAACAAATGCATTTCATCGGTCGTTTCTGTTCTGTTGCCTACTAGCCTGTATCAGCGGGATTTCGCTATGAGGCGAGCTTGACGCCATATTGTTTTGGTTAGAAACGGGGCGTGGCTTAAGTGCGATGGGAGGAGCTTAACACGATTGATCATGATTCTATCGCAGATTAGAACATGGTCCGTATTCAATCAAAACACGCGTTGCAAACTAATCGTGTTAGAATAGTGTTTAGTACATCCTAATGTTGTACAGCTCCTTGCAAATGGTTCATAGTACATGGATACATACATTTGGAATTATGCATGCAGGGGATAGGCCTAAATTGAATGTACTTGGTTGTAAGTTACAAGGTTGTTGTTGTACGATAATGTTCATTATATTACATGATGCTATCTGTACTGGTATATTGGTATATTGATATACCATTTATACTTTATTTAGTTCTTTCTCTTTAATAAAGCCAGTTCGTAAGGTTCTTCGAACAGCAAAGGAAGTGTTTTCACAGTTGGAACATATATAGTGGTCAGCTGACTAAAAACTAGTAATATGTTATATTTAACATACGTTTTCCGTGTATTGCAATTAGAGGATACAAAGCAATTTGTTTTGTTTTGTTTGTGCTTTACGGCCTATTAACATCTATGGTCATTTAATGACGAGCCAGGTTAGAGTGGTGGAGGCAAACCGGAGAACCGGATGAAGAGCAACCGACCTGTGACCAATACCTGGCGACAATACCTGGCAACAATACCTGGCGACTGTTCCAAATAGGCTTCAAATTCACAATGGTGGAGGGCTAGTGATCGTACAGGCGCCTTAACCACTTAGCCACTGCGGCCAAAAGTAATTGTAAATGCTTATTGAAAAAAACTTACATGTTCGTGTGGATGTCTGTAAACTGATCCACGGACATTATAATGTCTCCCTCCAATTTGAAGGCGTTTTCTTTCTGAATAAAGGACAACTCAATCTTAATAGATGCTGCGGGATCTGCAAAGAAAATTCTAGCTTGTCAAAACCTAAACACAAATTCGTCTAAAAGTGATAATATCGAAATACTGATCAGTGTGTGTCTCATACTGGTAAAGCTAACAACCATATCCAAAAGGGTTACTAAACTGTAAAAGTGGATTTTTTTCGCTAGTGGAAATATTTATGTTGAGATCCTTTAAACTCATTGCGGTGTAGAAAATTGTCGCGTTGGCAATAGTTTAGAATAATAGATATTCTATCTAAATAGGATATATACATTAATATATAAATAGATATTTGCGTGTGAATTTCCTCGGGGTTAACTATTCAATGCAAACAATGCGAAAATTTCCACATCTCGAAAATGTCTACATTAACAGTAAGTTAAAGGAAGTCCCTTTAGTCGTTTCTGTGGGATTAGTGATCATAGTATTGTAGAAAAGGACAACAAGCATACTGGCTGCTCACTGACAGCTCGTACAGGAATTGCTTCTTTATATAATATATTTAACTTAATTATTTCAGTATTAACAGTATTAAGTGTATAAATTCTTGGAAGCAATATCCTTCAAATATATACATCGTTTCCAAATAAATCACTCTCTACACGATCACGATACTGATATACATGTCAAGTTTTAATTAAGTAAATAGTACCCCAGAGAAAAATAAATTTAAATGAAAAAAAATACTGTCAATATTAAGATTTAACAAATTAAAAGAGGTACATTTGCACCGTTTATAACCACGAAATTCATTTTACTACAATGTTGCCAAGAATTGTTTTTGAAAATTTATGTTGTAACTCCACTGTTTTCTTTCTGTATTCTTTTAAATAAACGCTTTGCGACACATTTATTTTTCAGTGTTATAAGAAATAAATTAGAAATCCGACTAGGCTTAAATACAAATAATGCACGTATTATAAAATATGCAGTAGTTTACCACGTACCTTAAAAGAATGCACGATCTGAGTTATTGTAAGCCAACTTAACATTTACATGTTATATCTGAAAGAGATGTATCTATTTATTTAAGCGATATCTCAAAAATAATTGAGATGTAACAAATTTCTGAATCATGACACGTGTATGACAGACAACGGCTATGATAAACACCTTCAGCTTCCTCTATGATCTGATCTATAGGCACGATGTCTTGATATGTTTTTGATATTTAATGTTTTATTTTGTATTGCATCGATATTAAAACATCGATTTAGCAATAGTCAAATCACAGAAAAGCCCTCCGAAAATTACAAACAACAGAATATCCATGTCATGTTTAACAAAACGTGGATGACAGTTGGACGGATATATGTGTACGTGTGTATGACGTTATTAATGTTAATTTATAGACAAGGCGACTATAATTGATCACAACTAATAATACGAGAGGTGACACAAATATCAGTCAAGAGGTTATTGATGAAATGAACCGAGCGCAGACTAATTGCCCATAAATCACACTTTTCTGTGCTGGGACTTTTCCAGACAGTTGACATGCAGACCCAGATCTATATTAATTTCTGAAAATTCTCCAGAAACCTTGGGATATTCATGTTAATATCGAGACAGAAAAGTCTGTATATTCAGTGGGCTAGCATTACTCAGAAGGGAAATGGAGTTGAGCGAAGTTTCCTTTAATTAATAAAGACAGAACAGTTGAACAAACAGTCAAGAGTCATTCACTCTGATGTTTAGCAGAGAAAACTTATAATACCAATATTCGAACAAGCGATTCATTATTATTTCGCACGGTAACAGACCCAGTAATGAGTATCATTATATATTTCTCGTTCAAAATAATTCAACGCTTCGACAATGGAGTGACTCTTGGTTAGCTATCACCGAAATACAAAAGTTCCACTCTCGAAATGCAAATTCTAAGGCTTTGTACGTGTCACCTTGCGATAAAACATCTACATGTAGTCTAGAAATTGTCATGGAGTACTACATTACATTGTTCTTTTAAATCACAGCTATGCAGGTTTCCTGCTCACTCGTGAAAACACTGAAGCGTTCTACCCCACCCATGAAAGGGCCGGTTTTCAAAACGGCCCCTTCTCTGATTCAAATTTCATGTTGGTGGTGCATTGCCCATGCCGTTGTGGTCACAAATCTATAAAGTATAAAGATTTAGGTCACTTGGTTTTTTATGGCTCCTCAAAGTTGTACCTTTCAGAAGCTGTCTAAGTGTTGATAAAATGTGCATGTTATGTAAAATATTAATGAAAATCTAATCAAATGATGGTCACCGTAAAGAATACATTCATGGCATGATTGTGACAAAAAATCATGTTTCCATCGCGCCATTTGGCTGTTTTATGGAAGAAACAATCTCAAAAATGCCATTTTCGATGATAACATTTTAGACACAAAAACTGTGTTTTTTAGAGAATACACCCTTTTATGGGCGTTGGATGCAAACCAATTTTTATCCTATTAAACAGTACGTAATATGCTATTGATGAGAGGAAAAATCATCAAAATGTAAGTGGTGGAACATTTTCAAATGTTGGGTTGAATTAGCCTATGGTTGAATTGCCGATTTTCGACTTTCTTTAGATAATTAACAAAAAAACGAGAGTATTTGCTCGGTATGTTGAGAATATGTACACAGATATGAAAAAAAGTGAGAGAAACACTTTTTCATAAAAAAAATCCAAGATGGCTACTTCACAAGTCCCCGTGGTTGAAGACATTGGCTGACAAATAGACAGAACAACAAACAAAACGTGTTCCTTATGATTTTGGTTGGTTTTCGCATTTACGGGAGTGTTCATAGCTACGGGCGATTGTATAATACCTATATTTATAAGTTTGGTTAGTCACATGGTAACGGGGATCTTTCATATCGAGCCCCAAACATACTTTCGACATATGCACTCCGTTGCCGCATGGAAAACTATTTCAAGTTTTGTCGGAATTTCTTTACCTGTGGTTGTAATGGTCGAGGGTTTTCCAGCGTCCTGTAATACCCAAGGTAGTACAAGATACTGGAGATGTGCGCACACATTCCCATCGTTCTCTCTCCAACTGGGCACTGGCAGTAGTAGTCCTTTATTGGGGCCTCAACATCGGGTGAAACGGTGAACCGTATCCAAACGTTATATTTCGTTTGGCTTTTGTGTCGAGAATGTATTTGACATCGGAGAAGGTCTGGGGAGTGCTGGTAAAGCCACACCTCATAGTCTCCGTCATCACTTAAATGTTCGGCGATGTAACCAGGAGCCAGAGATATCTGATACGTTCCACACGTAATGGTTCTCAAGTAATCAAGATCGAGACGGGGAAACAGTACGGAAGATGCATCCATCTTGACAAACTCGGACCTTGCCCGTCTAGATAGATCCGGATCTGTCTTGACTCTCTGAGCTAAACCATTCGGTGTTGTCAAACGGTCCTTCATACGTTCAGCCATTAGCCTATCTTTGGCATCTCTCTCTGGAGATCTCTGGTAGATCGGTCCTCTAATAACATTCAGACAGGCTGTGACAGTTCGAAGCAAAGCCTCGATGACATTGATAAAGCTTTTAGACACCAATTGCGTTCGGAAGAACGTCCAGTGTTTCAGACGACCATGATAGGATTCCACAATCCACCTCGATTTGGTGATAGTTCTGTCAAGATTTGCTTGGACGTCAGAATGTTAACTTTGACCGGGTTTCGGGTATGACGGCATGCTAGCATTGAGGCCAGAGGCTTCGAGAACTGGTAGGACATCTCTAAAACCTCGGTCAACGACAACGTTGTCGTCTGGTTGTAACCAAGTAACTAGCTTGTCCAAGACTTTTTTGGTAATTGTAGCATCATTTTCGCTGCAAGTGAATGGTCCTACTGTGTCCAGAATGTAGCCATCTGGTAAGGCGATGCTCATGAATTTGAGATAGTTTCTCTTCTTCTGGCCACAGTAGGACATTCTCTGGAGCTTGTGGTCGGAGCTTTTCTGGATATAAATATAGGTGCCATCTAATATGGCAGTGGCTTTATCTCCAAAAAATGCTTCTGAAAAGACAGTATTGTGCCCGAGCAACTGTTCTCTTGTCAAGTGATCCGGACCTAGAAATTGTGGGACTATCGATGTGTCTAATGCCTGTACTATGGAGTGGAAAGTTTTGGACACACTTGACTTGGAAATTCCAAAAAGAGAAGAACACTGACTCCAGGAAATGTCGGTTTTCAGTTTTACCCAGAACAGTAATAGAGCATCGTGTGTAGTCTTGGTATATATACCAGATGAAAGATATGGGGAACAGTGCGAGTGGATTTCGAGGAACTGATCTTTGGACCAACCTGTCCAGGCCATGCATGCCGAGTCATCAAGAGAAGAAAAGCTTATTGTAAACGCAGACTGGTTCTGTGAAAGGACGTGCGACACCTCTAGGAGGTCATTAATGATTTCGGACGATTTTGATGGTAACTGAGATTCCAAGGAACCTCTACCATCAAGGACAACCTCTGTAGACGGATCTAAGTCGTTACCAATAAGGTGAATGGAGCAGACGCGGGATGAGGTGGGACACCACAGTTTGTGTGAATAGATCAGGTGATGTCTTGCACGTTTTGGTAAGACTGATGATTTTGTTCCATTTCTTGCAAAGGTAACAAGACAGAGACAGCATTTTTTGTGTGAAGATGATCCATTCAAAAGATCATGAAGGGTCAGCAACGGCAGGATATGGGACGGGGAGTCGTCTTCTTCCTCTATTTCCTGGTTCTGCTCGGGTTCAGGTTCAGGCTGATTTTTGTTCCGAAGATACTTCATGTAGCACTTCTGGCAAATAAGTGCTTGTTCCTTTGCTGACATCAATCCTTGTTGCACCAGCGTATCTAGGAGCCATTTATATTGTGGACTATTTACATTGCGTGCACTTCTGTTCTTATTGCCACTACGTTTCTTGAAGTATACTTGACACCCTTCTCCAACACATTTACCCTCCATCTTGAAACAATAACGATTGGTTTATGAAGCGTCGATAAAGTAACAAAATAGCAAGCCACCGATGATTGCTGTAAACAGCTAATACTTAGTAGTTTGGTACAATTATGCGAAAATGTGTGATAAATAACGAACAACTAATTACACAAAATAACAAGACAATATAATAAATCACATTCAATACCTCCAAGAAGCGCAGAATTGATTGATTACTTAGAACAAAATAAAGTATTTCATATGGATAATCTATCTATTCGATGTGGCGTGGTCGGCAGGCACAAAGAAAGTGAGACAAGTCAGGGTCCCAACCCTGACAGAGCCACAACGCTTTGGAGATGGGACAATAAAACAAGGAAAGTGAGACAAGAATAGCTAGCGTCGAGTCAATGATTCCGTAAACGTATAGACAAAGACAAGAAGATACGGATAAATGTACAAGGCCACACGATCAGAAAATTCAGAAGAGGACAACTTGAGATAGAACAGTATTCATGTATCAGGGTGTCCTCAGTGTAAATCTTTATATCGATACTGTTTATTTAGTCGTTACACATCATAAAACTGTCATGAAAATATCCGCTCTGATATTCAATATAAAAGTTTGTATATAATAAGCTATATAATAGGGTTTCAGACAAGGTTGTTACTCATTTCCCCTTTTCTTTCAATTTACAACCACATTCAGGCGGCGATATGAGAACGTTCCACCACATGGAATTAGCTGATTTTTGGTACACATATGAAACAAGTAAAGCTCTATCCGATTTTCTGATGGAAATTTGCATCCAAAACTATATAACGGGAGAAAATTGCAATTTTATGGCATTTTTCTTCATAATTGTGTCTCTGCAAGTGCATTTTCATCCGAGA